TCCCCTCCCTGTCTCCCCGTCCCTCCGTCCCTCCGTCTGTCGGCCTGGTCTGTCCCTTCCCGTCGCCCTCCCTCCCTCTCCCTCCCCTGCTCGCTCCTCGGCTCCTCGCTCCCCGGCCCGTTTCTGTTCCTTGCCTGGCCCGCTTTTCTTTGTCGGCCCGTCCCGTGGTCCCAATAAGAGTTGCCGCGGCCCGCACTGCCGCGCAGGCGAATAGCCGGCGCGATATGTTGCACTCGACCTGGCGGGATCCGGTTTTGCTCCCCTGTAGATGGACAGGCCCGACTTGAGCCTAACCCCACCCTAACGTGGAACCCGAAAACGATCTCAGCGCCACACCGTGCCTGGCCATCGCTCGGACGTCCATTCCCTGTGCGTGTTTCGGTTTCGTGCGTGGCTTCTTCGCCAAGTGATCAAGGATGCTCCTCGATGGGCCTCGCCGAAGGAAAAATGCACACGTCCGAGCGATGCCAAGGTGCTGCTGGTGACGGCGGCGCCCCCGCCGTGCGCGACGCGCGGCCAGCTCCGCGCCCGGGCGCCGCCGCCCTCGAGAGACAGCGGCGCCTCCCCAGCGTGCAGCTGCGCTGCGCAGCAGCGCGAAACGGAATCCGAAGCAGAATCGAATCGGAATCGGAAACCAGCGAAATCGAATCGAATCGGAGGCATCGAAGTGAGCCCTGCGAGGCCAGGTGGCCCTCGTTCCCGAGCTTCTGGGCGCCGATCCTTCGTCAGAGGCTTCTCCTGTCCTCCTCTCGGGTAGGGCGAAAGGGGGGGATAGCAAAGGGGGGGGGGTGAAAATCAGCTCACATAGCTGATTTTCCCGTCGCCTTCCGGCGCCAGAGGCGGCCGTGCATCGAGGCATATGGGCCCCTCGGTGGGGCCGCAACAGGCTGCGTGCAGCAAATTTCGCACCCCCCCCTCTTTCCCCATCCCCCCTTTCGCCCGGCCCGAGCGAGCACCTGCACGCCCCTGGAGCCTGGAGGCGACCCGGAGCACCAGGCGTTCGTGAAGAGTTCCGCGCGCGCAGCACGCACGGTCGCGAAGACGACGACGCGCGCGCCAGTGTGCCGACCGGCCACAGCCGGGGGCGGGAACGGCCCTCTCGCTCGAGACATCCTCGGCCTCCAGCTCGCGGGGGTATCGCGGACCTCCTCGCTGGAGGTGGCCCCCCTGGCGGTGCTGGCGTCGCTTCTCCTCCCTCCGACGGGGGCGATGGGCTTGCAGGGGCCCTGGGACACACAGATAAAAGACACCAATAGCTGGATTCCCGAGTTATTTGCATGCTTTCTGGGTTGTGTCGTCCCCCCCCCCACTTCCCATATCTTCCCATATTTCCTGGGGCATCGACGGTGAATTGTGTCTGTGTTTTTTCCCCTCCTGAGGTTCCTGACCCCCCCGAGGGGCAGGGGGACCCGCCGCACCGACACGTTCTCCCGAGAGGGGCGGCGGAGCCGATGGCCCCCTCCGCGGGGGCAGGGACCACAGCCCCCCCAGCTGTGGCTTGCCGATTTCCTCAAAGTAAAATCAGCGAGCGAAGAACGGTATAGGATAAACTTGTTCGCCGTCGGGGACACCTGCCCCTGGGCGGCTGGAAAATTTATACCCTTACGGTGGCACCGTAGGGGTATAAACTTTCCAGCCGCACAGGGGCAGGTGTCCCCGACGGCGAAAAAGTATATTCTATACCGTTCTTCGCGTGTTGATAAAAATCCTGGATACCGCGCCACACAGTCAAGTGCAGCTGCGTTCTCCAAAAAGACGCCTATAGGCCGAGCCTGATACTCACCCGGAGGGCGGACCGGTCGTCCTCGGCAGAAATCCAGGCACGAACTGTTGGAGCTGGAATGACCGCGGCTGCTGGCACCGATACCCTCCGCCCTCACCTTCCGCCCCATTTTTCAAAAGGAAAACAAAAAGTACCCGTGCCGCTACCCTCCCCTCGGTTTCCCCAATTTTGGCCTCCTGGGGGGCCCTCGTCGCCGCCGCTGGATTCGTCTCGAAATCCTGGTCAGGACGCGCCACGGGAGAGGTCCAGGGAGCAGCGGTACCGTTACCTTTTGGTATCCCATTTTTGCGATATGAGCTATGATGGTTTCTTTGAATTACATAGGATTTCCATGAATTGAATTCCTCCGCACCTTCCGCGGAGGTCAAACGGTAGGGAAGGTGGAGACGGAGGGCACCCTGAGATCCGACGTCGCTACAAAAATTGCACCTATCGTGGAAAATCACGACCGGAGCCCTACAACCCATGGATGATCCCAGGGCCCGACCCCTGGCGAACACGCCCCAAAGTGGAAAAAATGCGCTCAGATCTCGGGGGCGGCCAGCATGGGGGTGTCCAAGAGGGGGGGTGCAAATCATGGCCGGCGGCACGTGCGCGGCCAAAGGGGGGGGCCAGCGACGTCATGAAATAAGAAGCGCCATGAAATCTGAGGAAAAATCATGGCCCCCGCCATGAAATCCACCCCCCCTAGTCATCACCCCCCTCTTTGCCGCCCCCGAAGATCTCAGGGCAGTTGTGGCTCGCCTGCACCGGTACTCATCCCGCCCGAGCGGAGCGACCAGAGCGAGCGGAGAGCGCGGGCGGGAGGGGCGGGGGGGGAGGGGGCTCCAGACGCCCTGGCGCAGCGCGGGGGGCAGGTTGCGGCTCTGCAGCCACTCCTCGGGGGCGGGCAGGGGGCGCCGCAGGGCGCGGGGGTGGGGGGTGGGGGGGAGGCGTAGATACTCGTTTTGGGGACCTTCCTGAAAGCCTTCGCTCCACTCGTGCGTCCATGCTGCGCCAAAACGACCGTCGACCCGACCCGAGGTCGAGTCGCATTGGGGTCGAGCTCGAGTCGAGCCAGGGCCGAGCTGGAGTCGAACTGGAGCTGAGCAGATCACTGCCCCAGCCCTGACCTTCCAGAGAGCTATTTTTTATCACGGGAGGCCTAAAACCCAAAAAAAACGAAACCGCCTAAAACCAAGACATAGAATAGCTCTGGGATAGGTCTTTTCATCGCGTGCTATTTTTTAGCCCTCCTGGAAGGTCAGGGAGGGAGGTCCCCGAAACGAATGTCCATCACGGGGGGGGGCCGCGAGCGCCTCCAGGCCCTCCCGGCATGGGGGCCGCGTGTGCCGCGCTCCGCCTCCCGGGGGGGGGGGGGGGAATGGGCGGGGGCGCTCCTTCCCGGGCCCCGTGGCCGTCAAGAAGCAGGCCTGGGTGGAGCCGGGAGATGCGGGGCAAGGATAGGGGCGGGGGACTGGCATAGAGGGGGATGCCTCGACCTGGAACCGGCGATGCATCGCCGATGGATCGGCGATAGGCCTCCGATGGTGGACCTAGGAGATGAAGGGTAAACGGTCAAAACGTGTATTGAGGACGGGTGGTAAGGACGCAAGGCCCTTGGAGGCCGAAGTTGGACTTCTGGAGCGGGGGGCGGCCAGTGAAAACGGCGAAGGACGGGCCGCAGAGACGAGGACTCAAGGGTACCCTAGATGAAGGCAAGCGTCCTTACTAGGCGCGTTGACTGTAGGGGCGGGAATGGCATAGAGGGGGATGCGTCGACCCGGAATCGGCGATGCATCGCCGACAGATCGGCGATAGGCCTCCGAATCCGCACTTTCCCGGGCAGGTTGGGGCTATCGGGCCCGTATCGACGATCAATGGGCGATTGAGGGTCGATGCGCCCCCCCCCCCCCCCTATGCCTATCCCCATCCCTTCCTATCGTTGCCCCTGGGGAGAACCCATCATCGAATCAATTCGTCGGACTGGCGATCGACGTGGCTCGGGTCGGCGGCAGTCGGCAGCCAAGCCGGGAGAGATCGAATCGGCGAATGTCGCCAGGCTGGTGGGGCCCCCGTGGCGAAACAAGACTCTAAATCGGAATCCGACCTCGGATCGAACGGGAACCGGCATCGACCGGCCTCGAAACGAATCGAACCAGAGGAGTCGAAATGAACCCTGGGACCTGATCTCCGACGCCATGAGCGAAGGGGCCCTAGGACACACACACACATACATACACACAAATAAGAAGATTCCCCATATATTTTCCTTTGAGCACTGTGTCGGGGCCCACCCTAGGACAAGTTAGCACAGACAGGGATGCACTTTTTGCTGCCGCTCAGGTGTTACCAAACAACACTCCTCTTGCACGTGTGTCTAGCCTGGCCCCCGCATCTGATGCGGGGGCCTCCAAATCTCCACTCTCCTGAAGCTGAAACTCGAATTGCTTCAAATGGGCCGGTCTGCTGGGCTGATTGGCTCAAGAACGCGAGGGAGGGACGAGGAGACGGGAGCAGGGAAAAGGACAGGCTTCGCTCGGCGACACGGGAGGGGCGTGCTTGAGCATACGAGGCGACGGTGCTCTCTATGCTCCCTCCCCATGCCCCAACGTGCTCACCGAAAACTACCCGTCACGAGCTCATTAAACCATTTCAGCACTGTGTCGGGGCCCACCCTAGGACAAGTTAGCACAAACAGGGATGCACTTTCTGCTGCCGCTCAGGTGTTACCAAACAACACTCCTCTTGCACGTGTGTCTAGCCTGGCCCCCGCATCTGATGCGGGGGCCTCCAAATCTCCACTCTCCTGAAATTGAAACTCGAATTGCTTCACATGGGCCGGTCTGCTGGGCTGATTGGCTCAAGAACGCGAGGGAGGGACGAGGAGACGGGAGCAGGGAAAAGGACAGGCTTCGCTCGGCGACGCGGGAGGGGCGGGCTTGAGCATACGACGGTGCTCTCTATGCCCCCTCCCCATGTCCCAACGTGCTCACCGAAAACTACCATTCACGAGCTCATTAAACGATTTCAGCACTGTGTCGGGGCCCACCCTAGGACAAGTTAGCGCAGACAGGGATGCACTTTCTGCTGCCGCTCAGGTGTTACCAAACAACACTCTTCTTGCGCGTGTGCCTAGCATGGCCTCCGCATCTGATGCGGGGGCCTCCAAATCTCCACTCTCCTGAAACTGAAACTCGAATTGCTTCGAATGGACTGGTCTGCGGGGCTGATTGGCTCAAGAACGCCCACCACCACCCGCGCCCGCGAGCGGCTCCTCAACAGTCAAGCTCAGGCCAGTGCCATTCATCGTGTAACCGTCGCCCGTATTCGCTGTGCGGTCTGACTCCAGTAGGCGCGGCTGCTCGCGCCTACGGAAAGGGAAAAGAAACTGGACAACCCGCGCCACTGCGCGGCGCACTCGGCGGGAGAGTCTGCGGGTGGAACCCCCCGGGAGGGCGGGGGCGCCTCGGAGCGCCTCGGGGCCGAGGTCCAGCTCAGGCGCGGGGAAGCACGATTCCGCCGGGACTTTGAGCTGCTCGGCCATGGCCGGCGCCTCGGCCGTCTCGCCCATGCCGAGCAGACCCCGCGCTGGGTTCGCCCACTGCGGGCGGAAGCGGATCGCGACCACCCCCCAGGCGATCCCGACATGGCCGCTGGGAAGCCAGCGGGCCCAAAAACTAGCGGACTGGTACATCTTAGGAGAACGGAAAGCGCTGTGTGTGAATTCGCCCCTCGGCCTGGCGGCCGAGGAGAAGAGCAAAAGGCGCTCCAGTTCGTCAGAAAACTCCGGCTCGAGCTGCATGACCTGCTGGACCTCCGGCTCCTGGGGGAAGGCGGGCCAGTCGTCTTCATCCTCGACGAAGAACCTGCCGGTGCTGCCCTGCGCGTGGACGTCCAGCAGGTCGACGCCACGCCAAGCCGCCTCGACCAGGCCGATCGACCCGTCGGCCACTGCCGACACGTGCTTCGCTGCGCTCGTGCTCACATTCGCTCCTGCAGTCACGATCCTTCCCGCTGCGGCGCTACTGGGAACGGTGGCGGCGCGGAAGCCCCCCGCGGCGGCACTGGGGGGTAGTAGGCCCCACCCATGGCCAGGCCCCCTGGGGTCCGCGGAGGCGGCGTGTCCGCTCGGTTCTGCGCCGGCGCGGCAGGCGCCCGCGCCGAGCTGGCCCCCCGGCTGCCCACTTCCAGCCACGAGCCCGCCTCCGAGCCCGACTCCACGCCCTCGCCCTTGGCCTGCGCGGCGGCGCCCTTGCGGAGCGCGGCCTTGATGCCGCTGGGCGCCCTGGGCCCCGCCATCGAAAGCCCGGCGAAACGTAGGGTACCAGAAGCGGGCGGCGCAGTCCAGGGCGGGCTGCAAACCGACTGCACGTAGAGTTGTACCAACATGTGACGCTTTAACCACATCGATATAAATGCGCAGCGAGGAGTCGACCCTCCACCTCCCCATTTCCCTAATGGCCTCGAAAGGGATCCCGAAGGTGGGCGACTCCGAAGCAAACACGGCGCGAGGACTGCGCGGCCCCCACCCGAAGTCAAGGTTGAACGAAGCCTGCACGGTCTCTATGAGGGCACGGTACTGGGCCAGGGAGCACGGGAAAAGTCGCTGGCCCTTGGGAGTGTGACGACGAAGAATCCTGAGGCCCTCTGCGAGGCCAGGCTCCAGCTCCTCCAGGAACGACACAACCTGCGGACGCTTGGCTTTCGTCATTGCCCGGAGTCCCAAACCGATGTCGACAGGCCCCGAGCCTAAAGGATAGCCCCAGTCCTCCGGGAGAGTGACGTCGCCAGCCCCTACTCCCAGCATTTCACTCGGCCCCATCCCGGACTTGCCCTGGATCACGATGCCGAACCCGAGACGCGGCACACCCCTGCCACAAAAATGAATACACATCCAGGAACGCACGTTACTGATCATGGGGACGGCGTGACGAGGTTGGCGAGCATGGTCCAAGCCCTTGAGGGCCGCCCTAACTCGACACAGCCTCCCCTTCATGCGCGGGAAGCGGAACTCCACCGCCGCGAGGAGCAGGGTGAACTTGGACCTAGTCAGGACCCCCATCCCCACAGCCTCGGAGCCCCCAAACCTCTTGAAGTCCATGATAGCGTCATCCAACTGATCAGGGGTGTACGGCCCCACCCCCTCTCTGACGCACCACTTGACAAAAGGGGCCACCGCCTCCTTATACTTGAGGACGTTAGTAGCTGAGACCCGCCCCTCCTCATGCACATCGACTACTTCTGAATCGTCCTGTACTGCTGGACGACCTGGTCCTGATCCTGCGGGGTGCCCTCTAACACTTCCCTCCATGTCCTACTGCGCGACGCCCAGTCGGCAGGCGCCCGCCACGTCTCGACCCAGGGCAGCAGCAGGCGTAGCTCAGCAGCGGCACACAGGGCGCATCGGCGGCGGAGGAGGAAATTGAGCGGGCCCGCAGCGGACTTCCCCTTGGCAATGGCGTACGAGCAAGGCATGTTGTCCTCGAACGAAATCACCTTACTCCTATAGAAACCCAGAACTTGCACCAACCTCTCCAGCGCCAAAACGACGGCCCTCATCTCCCCCACGGTGATGCGCCCCTCCCACCACCACCTACCGGCAGCAACTGGGATCTATGAACGAGCTGTATCCCAGATCTCCTTCGGAACCGCACCGACAGGGAGGTTGGGGTGAAGCGAGCGAGGGGCCTTGTCGAGAACGCGCTTCTCCTGGCCCAGGCGTGCGAGAGCGAATCCGTGTTTAGTCCCGGCCTCCCAGAGCAGGCGGGCCTGGCTGTCCGACATCGCGGCGGCGACGATACCGCAGCCCCCGCAATCTAGACCGTTCGACCCCTCAGCATCCGAAGCCAGGACCACCTCCGAGATGGGCGCCCCCAGGTCCACGTAGAGCCCCATGAGCCCACACCTCATAACCTTCCACTCTCTCAAAGCACTGGGCCACCATCTTCGGAGCCCTCGGCGCCCAGGGAGCCTCTCATTTTGCTTAGCAAACTGGAAGGTATGCGGAGGCGCCGCAAGCCAATGACGAGCCAGCAGCGCCGCCCAAACCCAGACTCCCAGTAGTGACGATACGGCATCCAGAGACACCCCGGAGCGACGTTCCAGATACAGCATGTCCTCGCACAGGGCCGCGGCCTTCGGGGCATTTAGTTTAAGTCGAGCATGGCGCTGCTGAATCTCATAACCTACAACCTTGTCCATTTCAACGGATTCTCGGCGGTCGGTAACCTTAAAACCCAGCTCCACTAGGTCGTCGGCAGCACGGTGCATGAAAACTTTCGCGGCCCCCTTGGAGCCCATGTGGTCGCGGCCGTCCGTCATCACCAGACCATCGTCGATATGGAGGTAAAAGCCTACATCCCCTTTGTCCAAGACAGTGTTTTTCATCTTGACGCTTGTCTCGTTGAGTATGTGGAGCCCCCGCTCCGGCCGGGAATTGCTCGGCCTAGACCATTGCGAAAGCCTAGCAGCACGACGCGGGGGAGGAGCAACTGCGAGCGGATCTGACATCTCTCGGCGCCTCCTGACGAAGCTCCGAATCAGGCAAGAGGCCTCGCAGCGCCTGCAGGCCGTCGGGTACGTAGCCAAACGTGTGGTCGCAAAGTCTGGCCGGTTTCCCTTCCCCGCAATACGCCCGATGCTCCTATGGTGTTGTTGTTTCCCATCACATCGGCACTCCCCCATCCCGAAGACCATCGGCCGTGCCCGACAGCGTCGTCGACTTGCGCGCCAGGCCGCCGCACGTGCACTGATCAAGACTCACGCGCACGGCCGACGTGCGCCCCCCCATGGCACACATCACCTCCGCGCTGTCAACTGAGGGATGGGGATCCTCGCCAGGGTCTTCGGGATGCTCATGGATATGCACCCCTCCTTGGGCGGATACTCCTTCGCAAAATGACAGAAAAGTTCAGAGTTCGGAGATTGGGCCCCAGGGCGCGCCCCTTCTCAGCTTCCGTGAGCTCTGAGCCGGGGCGCCCCCAAACGTACTTGCCTCGGAAGCGCAGAGGCCTCGGACCCCCCGGGAATTTGACGAAGCGGGCCCGAGACCACGTTGAGCACGGAGGCCCTCCGAGAATTCCATCAATGTACCCCTGGGCCACCAGGCCCCTTAGCTTCTGGAAGGCCTCCGGAATGGCGAGGCCCCAGTTGGGGCCCAGCTCGAGGTCGCACGGGGGCGCCAATATCTCAAGGCCATGCATGGCCCCCAAAGTGCGGAGCCACTCCTCCAGGTCACCAGGCCGTCTCGGGCCCGCGAACAGGTGCATGGCGACGACGGCATTTTTCCCATGCGTCTTAGCCTCTGAGACCTTCTGAACCCAACCGTCCACGGTGAATCCCTTACCTACGCCCTCTGACTTCTTACCTTTGTTCTCCTGGGCCCAATCCTCGTCGCTCTTGCCTCAAAACTGGCCCTCCTCATTGACGTCGAAATCCTCCTCCGAGGAGCCCGGCCGAAGGCCGCGGCTGCGAGCGAGCGCGCGGCCTACACACGTCATATGAATATACATCGGGATGTGGACGCTGTGCGAGCCCCCCATGACTAGACGCTTCCACATAGGATATATCCAGCCCCAGGGCTGGGCCCGCTCTCGGACGTCCCAGGGAAGAACAGCCCAGATCAGGCCGGCCCGGATGAGGGGTGCAGCTTGCCACGACCACATCCACTCAGGCACCTCCACCGAAGTAAAGGCATTGCTCTCGTCGAAGGCCGACGCGCAGACGAAATCGCTCGGCACGTGCACACTGGTGAGGGCTGCCCCGCCATGGAGACCGTGCCCCTCGCGAGGACGTGCATCTTGGAACACATAATTTGAGGCCATAATCATGATAATCTAACGTTGCTTAGCTGGGGTCTTTTTGGGCACCACTAAGAACCCCGCAATTGCTCGGGCGTCTTCCCGAACACCAAACTTCCAGAGGTTAGGGGCGATGTCCTGTCTCGGGAGATATCCTGCGCGCTCCTCCTCAGATCCCCCAGAGAAACCGTGCTGCTGCTCTAGCTCCCGAAAAATTATCTGCGAGCGGGCCTCCGGGGCCGCCGCAAATTGGGCCTCCTCGGAGTAGAAGGCCGCCTCCTCTGGACTCAAGGCGGACAACATGGGCGCTGCTCGGGGGCCCAGGGGCTTCTCTACAGCGTCGGCTCGCAGGGCTTCGCGCGCAGTCTTGCGCCTCTGGGCTCCTGTGCACGATAGAGATGCCGATTTCACAAACTTCTCGGTGGCTTGGGCGCCGCTGCCTCTCGTAGAGCCAGTCGCTGAATCCGTTGGCGATGGGGAAGCATCTCCTTCAGACGTTCCTGCTCGCGGCTTCCCCGTGTGAGCTCTCGGCAGTCTCCCCGATGCATGGCATTCAGAGCAGCAAGGTACTCGCTGGCCAGTGTCATCAGGGCGAACTTCTTGTGAAAACGCTGGCGGAGGCGGTTGGACGCACTATGGGGTCGCCCTGGGGCCTCAACCAATGGGATCGTGTACAACCTGGCGCCAGGCGCCGTGTGCAGCAACTCGCGCAGCCCGTGGGCCTCGTCCAGCACCTGCTTCTGGACCCAAAGGCCGAGCTCCATGCCTCGGCTGGTAGCTGCTGCCCCAGCCGAGGCTGCCCTCTGTCACTCAGCCTTCTTCGCCCCCCCCTGGCGGGGGGCCCTTCTTGGCCTTGTCCGTCTCGCCCTTGTCGCCCTTGCCGCCCCTCTGTCTCAGGTCGGCAGCCGCCCTCTCATTCCTCTGGTGCTCTGCTTTGCTGTGGGCGGTGGCCGACTGGACCAGCCAGCTCGGCGCGACGTCGGTCTGGCTGCCGGGGGGGGGGGGCACCCCCAGCATGTGGAGCGCCCCCGTGCGACCCCCGGACCTGCTCTCATACATGTAGGCCGCCAAGCGGCGGAGGGAGATCTCCATCGCTGGTGCTCAGAAACTTCATGAGGCCCTCCTCGGTCTTGCAGTCGCGCACGGCGAAGTCCACTGTAGATGCCAACGTCCATAGATCTGTCCACGCAGGCGAAGTACGGCTGCCGCCGTACCGAGCTGACAACCAATCTCGCGTAGATGTGCAGCCCTCTGCCCTCGTCGCCCGGTAAATCTCAGCGTCCTCTGCATGTCGGGAGGGAGGCTGGCCCCCATCTGGTCTCCTGGCTGCCTCCCCCCGCCGTCGCCGATCCTCCTAGGCCCAGCGGGTCACCCGCTGTGCGGCCGAGGGCGGGCGCCGCGCTGGAGGCCAAGGCCTCCAGGCCTCGGGCCAAGTCGGCCACCCTCGGCGCGGTGACGGTGCCTGCGCCCACGTAGCCATAGCCGCGCAAGAGCTGTACAACGGTCGCGTCGAGACGGCCGCCCTGCTCGAGCCTCACCACGGAGTCCCAGAACTTCGTGGCCCAATAGGGGTCGGCGTGAGCTGTGGCGCTAGTCGCTAGTCGCCGTCAGGTAGTCCTTCACGAAGGCGGCGCCTGCTCTGCTGGCGGCTCCGCTCTCGGTGGGTCGATGGACGACCTCGGCACCTCCCGCGGCCCCCGCCACCCCAGCCCAGCCCGCCAACTCGCCCAGGGCGCTGGCCCCCGCAGGCGCGAAGCCACTGGCGGCGACGCCGCTGGGCGCGAGGGCGGGCGGCTGGGCTGGGGCGCCTCCGGGAATCCCGAAGGGCACGGCGGCAGGCGGCCCCTCGGGCTCCGCGTCGGGCCCCGCCTCGCCAGGGTCACCTCCTGGAGCCATGCCCGACGCCCGCATCAGCGCAAGCATCTGCTCGAGCTCCCCCTTGAGCTGCAGCACCTCGCTGTCGGGCGGCGGGGGAACTGGCCGTCGAGGAAGCCACGGCCAGGTCAGACAGGCCATGGCGCTCAGGATCGTGATCATGCTGACTGTCGCCCCTCCAAGCGCTGTCCGCCATGTGGAGGCTCCCTGCGCCAGCAGGAAGCTCAGGACGCTCACGATGGCGAGTATCCTGCTCAACCTCATGCGGGTGCTCAGAGGCCAGGGCGAGGACGCCCCCGCCTCGGGGGCGGGCGTCATGGCACGTGACGTCGGGCACAGTAAGGTAAAACGTGGTCCCGCGTGCTTGAGCATACGAGGCGACGGTGCTCTCTCTATGCTCCCTCCCCATGCCCCAGCGTGCCCACCG